GATTTTTTTCATCAATACCTTTAATAGAGTTGAGAAGCAAACAATTCTGTTTAGTCTTTTGCTTTCGTGTAGAATTTTGTCTATAATGGAATTCACCTAAAGTAAATTTAAATAAATAAAATGAGATAAATAAATTTCATTAAGTAAATCAGTAAATTAAAATAAAATAAATTGAGAACAAACAATAAATAAATAAATAAATAAATAAACAAAGACAGCATTTCCGGGTTTTACGTTTCAATTAACTTTAAATCTTTAGGTAATAAACAATTCTAGTTTTTTTCTTCAGTGCATTTAAGAGAGCCAAGAAAAAAATAATTCGACCTTAAAACATTTTTTAGAATACTTTTATATAATAATTTTAGCATTTTTAATTGTATAATAATGATATCCTTTTGCTTTTGCCGAGTATATGAAATTTACCAAATAATATGATATGGTTCACCAGATTTTTTTTCTTTTCTTTTTTCATTGAAAACGTATAAAACATCTTTTATACAGCGTTATGTACCTGTAGATATTGTACGCTATGTTGCAGTATTGCGTGCGTCACAACTGCTCGTCTGATCTCGCGCGCTCAGCTGTTACGTACAGTGCGTGATGACGGTGACGTGAGTTTGAATCCTGAGTCGGTGAGAGAGGAACGCGACGCAGAGCCCGAGGAGCGAAACGTACGGTAACGTTAACGAGTTTGTGTTGTTTTCTAGCGTTTATTAACGCGTTTGACTGACACGCTTCCCTACAGATGCACTGAACGGTCTGGATGAAATAAATCTGTTGGTTTGTTCGGTTCAGTGACGTTTACGTTATGTTTGAAAGGCGTAGCAGCGAAACATCTGCGTGTTCAATATAACATAACGTTACATTCAGTAGTTCAGTGTATTACAGTATATTACAGATGTTTTATGAGGACAGTTATTCATAAAGCCTGATTTATGCGCTGTCAAACGCTGGATATTTAACCAAAAACTGGCTGAGAAATGCAGAAAGCTTGAGATTTTGATGTACTGTAGCCTATATATTGTGTGATTATTATTATTTTTGACGCGACGGTTATTATTTTTGGCGCGTTTTGTGCTTTTAAATATTCACACGCTTGACAGATGTGATCCGATAAGAAACGGTAACACACTGAAATAAGCGTTAAGTTTGATGTAGAAAGACTGAAATCGTTTTTTCATGTAAAACATACTCCAATTAACTTTATTTACAACTTAGAAAACAATATTTTTTTGCAGTGTGCTGGACCCGTCCCTCTAACGTTCTCATTGGTCAATGGATGCATAGGTCTTGAGAAAATGTAAGACTAATAGCTGGTTCACGTCAAGAACGAAAACTATATTATTTAGCGTTCACACCGTGGGATGGAAACGTTCTGTTTATTATTATTAAGCTCGCTGCAGTTTTGTCGTCTGCCACTTTAAATGATCAAGCTCTTTAAAGGCAGATTCTGATTGGCTGTCAGTATTTTTATCATTCATCACATAGAAATATATATACCAGTGTTAATTTTGACAGCAAATTTTGATTTAGTTTTAGTTATAGTCTTAGGACTAAATTGCCATTTAGTTTTAGTCATCTGAATTGTTTTAGTTTTAGTCGACTAAATATACGATTTTACTCGACTAAATATAAGATTTTACTCGACTAAATATAAGATTTTACTCGACTAAATATAAGATTTTACTCGACTAAATATAAGATTTTACTCGACTAAATATAAGATTTTACTCGACTAAATATAAGATTTTACTCGACTAAATATAAGATTTTACTCGACTAAATATAAGATTTTACTCGACTAAATATAAGATTTTACTCGACTAAATATAAGATTTTACTCGACTAAATATACGATTTTACTCGACTAAATATAAGATTTTAGTCGACTAAATATAAGATTTTACTTGACTAAATATAAGATTTTACTCGACTAAATATAAGATTTTAGTCGACTAAATATACGATTTTACTCGACTAAATATAAGATTTTAGTCGACTAAATATATGATTTTACTCGACTAAATATAAGATTTTAGTCGACTAAATATATGATTTTACTCGACTAAATATAAGATTTTACTTGACTAAATATACGATTTTACTCGACTAAATATACGATTTTACTCGACTAAATCTAATGGGTTTAGTTACACTGTAATGCATTTATTAAGCAAATCTCTACAATTTCCAAACTCATTATGTATTCCCGGAGAACCCATTTGAACATGCAATCAATGTAGACACATATTTAACTGCTTTGACACGTAACATGTCTTTATCTCAAAATTAAATAAAACTACTTCTCATAAAGAAACAAGAACACGGTACTCTCTTGAAATAGCAATGGTTATATAACATGCATTCTTTATAACAACTTGCATACAGCATCCTTCATTCTTTCAAGCAGACATATAAATTATTAGGTACAAATTAGGGGTACTAAAGTGATTCATTCAGGAGCAGTGAGTGATTTTCTCTCTTTCTTTTGTTGATTCATTAACAATAAGGACACAGATGACTCCCAACTAAATTAGTCTGCTGTCCCTTTAAAACTAAATGCACAAGTATTCAATATACTGCTACACGCATCCGATATTCTCCAAACAGTTTACATTCACTTAAAACATAACCGGGTGTGTTTACGTGAATGCTCGTCAAAACAATTTGAGATAATTTTGTGTGTATTTCGCCGCTAAGACGCGAGAGAGAACTGATTTCAGCAATCGTGCGCTGTTTGAGAGGCGCTTTTGTGCGGGATTTGGTTGTAAAATACATGTTTTTTGACTGGGTACAATTCGCATTCCATGGGCTAAATATCACGTAAAAATTGTCGTCTCGTTTTTATTCGGTGACGAAAATGTCAATAGATTTTCGCGACTGTTTTTGTCATTCAAAAAGAGTTTTTATTACGTTATCGTCTCGTTTTCGACGGTAAAAAAATGTCGTTAAAGAAAATTATTCGTCAACGAGATTAACACCGATATATACATAGATGCCTCATTACCGACTTTCTATGGGCTGCGATACGTAAGCCAGCCGCCATTTTTGTAACGGTCTGCGAACCCTCGAGCAGCAGTTGACTGTGTGCGTCATATATGCAATTTATACGCATGTATATCTTTGAATATTCATTGATTATTATGATAAATAACGACAAGTTGACCGTTCCAAAATGCCGGACGCGCACGTATCTGGAGCAGTCAAATAGGGCATCTATGGTTCATCAGCTGGAATAAAATAGTTCTGAAAGTGATTCCAACGATACCGCTCCACATTATAGTTTTCTCGTAGAATCAAAACAACTATTAAAACTTTATAATAATAATAATAGATATCGACCTTGGTGTGAACGGCTTGTAGCTTTTGCTGCAACTTTTGGTCACGGAGCGTTGCTTCGCAAACTATTGCATTGTTTTCTTTTACATATTTGAAACTCATTATCCTAATTAAAATCAGTTGTTTGTTGCTTTATTACGTCGTGCTTGGTGTTAGTCCTCATTTACGCTGAGAGCGAGTGGCATAATGTAATGTGACTAAACTAGTACAGTAAAGTCATAGACGGCTCTGCTGATTCCGGTTTGCAGTGCAGACGACTTTGTCGCTTTGACTTTGCATGCTTATAGTGTTTAGATCATGTTTCTTGCATGCCAGGAGTCACTTGTAGAATGTAGCTGATTGTAAATCAATATCATGTATTGATCAAGAGACAGAGGACTGTGTGTGTGTGAATGTGGACAAAGTTTCTTCAGAGGTTTGTCGTGTAACTTGATTTGCAGCATGTTTATTGCAGGTTAAAGTAAGTTTCCAACTTAATGATACTTTATGAATTGACCTTCAACTTTCCGATTATCAGCACAAATCTTTAACCACTAGGCCACAGAAACCTCAAATAAGTCGGGTTCCATAAAAATATTGTGCAGCACGACTGTTTTCAACATTGATAATAATCAGAACTGTTTCTTGAGCAGCAAATCAGCATATTAGAATGATTTCTGAAGAATCATGTGAC